TTGCTTTCACTGCAGTATTAAACAACAATTCAATTGATCCTATTTTTTTAATCTCAAGCACTTACGTCGCTTTTTGATGTTGGATTGGCATATAGTCTAGGTGAACCAGTAAGACAATAACAAGCAGAAACTAACATATCGGTCTTACGATTTTTGCCAGTGTTTTTATCAACAAAACGTATATCACGAACATAAGCAAGTCCAAATTCTGGTATAGCATAGCCACCACCCATGCGCCCATATTTTAGATCAAGTAACGCACGGTAACCGTCCGAATTGTAAAGAATAATTTCTTCTTGTGCCCCTGATAAAAAGAAATAATTCAATTTCATATGCACAGAAAAATACAACAGCTAAACGAGAAATTATTTCAATAGAAGTTTTATAAATAGATATTACTTTGTGCAAGAGTGCATCTTTACATAATCATGGAACAAATAGTACTCACACGTATGTTGCAAATAGCCACCTCCGGGTGATCGTTCATTCTAAAACATCGAGATTCAACAACGAATAATATTCGAAAAATAGTTTACAGCAAAATTAAGAACAATTATTTGAGCATTCTCTGGTATGTCAAAAACAGCCTTTTCAATTCCTTTATTGACATAGGTGATTTTTCCAGCATTATTTCGTTTCGATACAGGATATTCACGTAGAGCCTGTATGACATCCGCATCGGATGGATCATGTGGTAATAAGATCTCATTTGTGGCTTCACTCTTTTCTTTTTCGATTGGTCCCTCGTTCACTTGATTTTCTATGGCATCCTTTCTTTCAGTTTTCGCTTCGACCGTTACTTCATTTTTTTCTAGTTTCGTGTCTAGAGTCGTTTCATCTTTTTGGTTATCTTCTGCTTCGCATTTTGGTTCTAGTTTTGTTTCACTATTAGTACTAAGTTTTTCTTCCCCTTTTTTAGATTTTGTTTCATGTTTCGGACAAAGATTTTCTAGTTGTTGAGCATTCCAATAAATTTTTAATTCTTCAGGTTTCCAACCAGAGCTTCGAAAACGAGCCATATATTTACGAGATTGAATCACATCAGGATGTACCTAAAGAAATGTTAATTAATATAAAGAACATTACTTCGAAATATTTTTTAGAAATACAGAATTTTACAAAGCAATTATTTTAAAATAAAAACTTGACAATTTTCTATTAGTAATGGTCTACATACGTGATTTCTAAACTAGTTTCAGTTTTTGATTAATCCAAAACAGTGAATGCACTGTAATATTTTCGAAAATTCACTGATTTGAAAATCTTAAGAAGCCAAGCAACTCGAAGAGCTTTGGGGACTAGAACGACTCAAACTAACTGGAACGTTCTAGAATGACAACGGTAGTTGTTCTTCTGAACAATACTTTTCTGCTTGTTGGCGAGTAATGCCTCTGACTTAACTAAACGATACAATCATCTTGAATAAGAATTTTCAATGTCCTAACACTATCTGATGCCAATTATAACATTGAGACGATGCATATCAGGAATTCATTAACAAAATGAAGAATTTTCCTCATATTTCAACTGAGAAACTTCGCTTTGACGTATGATGTGGGTGTGGGTGTGGGTGAAGGCAAGATGAACCTCACACCTACACCCACACTTACACCCCAAGATCTAGTCGAGTGTACTTGGAGAGCAGAACAAATGCTTAAAGATAATCACATGAGAATCAGCTTAATGAGAGTTCTAAGAATATGCAAGCCGAGACATCGCGTAGCTAATAATGCCTCGAAAACATGCATACAGATGTTCCTCAACATTTTAGAAGATCATCTATGAATATTTAAACATCTGAAAATACCTCTAGAAATTCAGTTAATTTTTCTCAAGTTTAATTACTAATGTTAAGTTATACAAGTAATAGAGCTCTTTTGATTCCTTAAGTTATATGCGTGAATACCACGCATCCTGTTACTAACACTTACATACAACAAGGTCACATTAAGTAATTTAATGATTGTGAAACTCTCTATTTATCGATCTTTAATGGTTATTTTCACCATTGATTATTTGTTATTGCATAGCAATCTTCGTTGATTACCATCTATTAGGTAGTAGATAAGCGGTCTGTACTTCATTGAGAATGGATTGTTTGTGTTATAGTAGTGATGTTACAAGTGGACATTTTCTGAGACTTTTTACGATCGAGAAAGTCATACTGAGAGAAAAACTAAGCATGTTTTATAAACCTTGGCGAAACCGTGGAATGTAAATCGTCAACAAACGACAAATTCAAGCTTGACACTTTTGGTAAACCATAAACCGATTCGATTTTACTAATTTATGAAACATTTGGCCATGTTTTTCAAAACAAAGTCGTTCTTTTCAAAGAAATAATCTATCTTTTTGACCTCAAAGATCGATATAAAATCTAAGATTACGGCAGGTTTGAAACTCATTAATACTATTTCTTTTAATCCATCCAGTACTGTGCTAGTCAATGTACACATAAAAAATGCATCGTTTGAAGAAAAATCGATTAATTAAGGTCAATAACCCTCCTTCAATTATATATAAAGCATTCAACATCGATCCCCTCATTAGGAAAT